AAGACTACGTTTCATTATGAGCTTTTAAATCAATATATAATCAACTATTGAATTATCTTTACATTCCAAGCAATAGACAAGGTTTATTGGGATCTATGCATACGTTTCTATCACAGTTATTACAAACAGTTTTTAGTTGATGATCGCATGTTTGTAATTCACACAAATATGACTAAAACCAGTAAATACTTGTATTTGGTTGTTCGGAAAATGATATCTGATTTTAGAATCAATTTTTATTATTGAATTAACGTTTTTAAACAGTATTTAAATCATTCAAAATAGAAATACTTAACATCTATATCTTTCTACCGTCGATTTTCAAGTTGGTTTCTGCCTTTACGATGAAACTCTAAAGGTTTGGATGTCAACAAATCTTTGAAAGTAGTTTCTGCAACTTCTTTGCAACTGAATATCTTTTGGTTTAAGAAACTGTCAAGATCTGTCTATATTTCTTAGATGAGGTATTATGTACACTATTTACATTATTCGGACTATTATGCTCATCTTTGCCATCATATTTATCACAACGTTTCGGCCGTTTTACACTCCGACCTTCTTCAGGTGGTTGGAATGTCGAACTGAACCATTCTCCACTGCCTTAACAAGGTATTGAACTCACAACTCTTTGGGCCCTATCACCAAATCTAACCAACGCCTTTATCCACTGTGCCATGTGTCCTTAAGGAGGAGTTGTGTGTTCAATACCTGGTTAAGGCAGTGGAGAACTAGGTGAGGTGAATTAACAGGGGGTAGCTGCTAACTGACATCCATTAGACATGGCACGTGGAACTAGAACAGTCTACCCCAGTGAGCGAAATAAAGGGTTCAGTTCGACATTTCAACCAACTGAAGAAGTCCGGAGCGTACAATGGTCGAAACGTTGTGTTAAATATGGCAACAAAGATGAGGACCATAGTCCGAATAATGTAAATAGTGAACTGTCAAGATGCTTGAAAAAGTGGGTGTTAGTGTGCATGAGATCATGGGAATATGGTGAGTGTAGCAAAGTTTCGTATACCAGGTCAGTGAAATTCTGCAGTGTCAACGTCTGGTAGAGCACTGACATAAAACTTGACCTTTGAAATTTTCCTTCCTGGGATTGTAATAATATTAAAGGAATAAAGGATATTTGCCAACTGCCCCACGCAGTCAGATGTGGCACAAGACCAAATTTAATGTGGGGTATCCGAGCCCGTAGTCTCGGGCAAAAATTCCCCGTAGACCCTGGAAAAAATGGGGTCGGGTAGCTGTCTACCACTCCAGACGAAACTCTGCTTTTCGGCATAGCCTCGTCTGGGTTCCTCTCCGCCTTCGGGCAGAGAGTTCGACTAGCTAAGCCGGAGACGAATCTCCAACTACTTGCCGAAGCAAAAGGAATAAAGTCATAAATTATTTCAATCCACCGGTGATATCACGGGGAATTGTCAAAGCATTATTGCCGAGCGGGTTTTCAAGTACGTCATTTAAAATATTATAGATATATAATTCATAGCTGTAAGTGTTATATATTGAATTGTGTACTATTTCTATTTTCTTTAGTGTAAATAAAATGAAAGGTACTATTTTATTCAAATAAATATGTATTAAAAGGCCAGTATTTAAAAAAAGTTTAAATTTCAAAAAGTAAAATACGCAAAATACATTCAATTTTATTTTCATTATCACCTTTTAAAACAATATATAATCAACCTGATACCACATCAACTGTTTTTTCACATTCCAAATAATGAAAAAATTTACTGTGTTCTGTTTGTCAATCTCACAAATATTAGGACTTAAACTAGAAACGCCTTGTTGTTACTTAACAGAGATATTTGGAAAGCTACTTGACTGATCATGAAAGTTTGACTCGCCGCTTGCTAAATATTAAAGAATAAAGATTTTGTGCACAGTCCAAATACCGCGCAGTACTTAATCCTGGGTATGACGATAAATTACATCCGGTAGCAAGGCCTCTGATCGGGAGGGTAAGTTTTGAGGTGCGTGGAACCACCTCTTAATTGCTGTTGTTCGCAGGTCCACCCCAACCCAAGAGGGTAGCACCTGTTAGAATCCTAGAAATGGGGAGAGAGTGAACACACAAACAAAAACAAAGCACTATGAAAGTATAAAAATACTTTTTTATAGTAATGTTGTGTAGGAACCTACCATCCCTCTTGAAGATGAACTCGTCTACAAACAAGGATGTTAAATAGTGACATGTCAAAAGGCAGTGTAGGAGAAGTTCTGAGCTGAGTTAGTTTTAGACTACTCAGGCGATTTCTGTACCAACTTACCAACCGAATAAACCCCATTTTATTGTTACATGTTATTTGGCGTTTGTCTTTATTAACCCCAAATTAACATCATAACAAGTAAAAATAATAGTAATACATTTTTATATAATAAAATTACCGACAATACCTATTTACAGTAGAAGGCAGACAATTCAGCTCAAATATATATTTAGTTGAAGCCATAAAATTGTGTTCAAAATATTTAGATTTCGTCATTAAATAACTCTGAGAGGTGTTGATATGCCGCTAAACTAGATCATCGAGCCAACCGCAGGGTACTAACGGTGTGTGTGTGTGAAAAAGGCAACAAAATTATTCTCCTTTCCCCAATTTAATGAAGATTATCGAACTAAGTTTTGCGTTGTTACAATCACGTTTTGATTGTTTTATACTGTGAACTTCTTCAGGTGTAGAATTTATAAGGAAAAAGTGAATTTTTGTTTCTGCAGCAATATTAGGCAATAAACCTGTAGAAAAAAATGTGGAATGGATCGGCCGAAATAACAATAAGACTAACACAAAGAATAGTTTCAGTCGTTCAAATTATCTTCTAATGTTAATGTCTTCTCGAAATTAGAGCTGGTAAGTGTTTTAACAGACAACTGAAAATGTGACAATCGTTAGAAACAAAGAAAAGAATTCTGAAGTTCAATACTTTTTTTTTAAACGTTTCACCCCAAGCAAGACATTCAATTTCCCCTTTTTTTCTGATTTTTCTTTCGAAACGGGATTTCTAACTAGATCATCAAATAGGTTAGAATGATTAGGACAAAATGTGTTACTATGGGCAAACACACTGACGAGTAGGGGGAGAAAAAAATACAATAAAATAGAATAAAATTTAAGAGTTAAAAAAATAAAATAAAATAAAGAATTAAAGAAAATCGAAAAAAGATTAAAATGAGATTTCGGTAGAGCGAAATTATAATAGCATTTAACCTATATGTTTTTTTTTACGGTATATCAACCTCAATGGATTACTTAATGCCGACAAGATTTTTATGGCTCGTAATATTTTTTCCAAAAGTATATTTCTTGAAATATTTTCTTCCCTTCAAAAATGCATTGCTGGCAATATATTTTTTTCTTCAAAAATGTATTGCTGGTAATAATTTTTCATTAAAAAATTCATTGGTGGTATTAAAACCTATTTTTACACTTTGAGTGTTTTGGCCTAGTTTGGGGGTTAACTATTTACCCATAGTTGGGACCCTAACAGGTGCTACCAACCCGGGTTATGGCGGACCTGGAAACAGCAGCAATTAAGAATCCTCAAAACATCCTGAGTTGGACGGAGTTTATCGTCTTACCCAAGACGCGGATGTTGTTTATCGTCATACCCGCAACATATATGGCAGTGAATGCTGGAAAGCTTACTCACTGATGAGGAGGATATTTGGGGCAATAGAAATGTGAAATGTGGCTTCCTAGAAAGTTGTTGAGAATACCTTGTATGGAACATGCGTGTAACGAGGAAGTTTTAATGAAAATAAGCGCAAAAAGAAAACGTGCTTAGAATGAGAGAGTTGAAAAATCTAAGACACGTAATATGGAAAGAGACCTTGGCGAATTTGACACTCACAAGACATTGTCGGCAAGAGGAACAGGGAGAAACATCGAGTAAAGAGCTTGTGTAAATTGAATGCACAGCAGGGACGATTTTCTAAAAGTGGCCTAGATATGGCACAAATCGCAAAGTATGAGGCACCCGGTGAGGCTCGAACTGACCTCTAAGTCGTAACTGACCTAGCGAGAGAGCTAACCATTACACTACGTCGAGGCGACAAAAAGACTGGGAAGAATAGTAAGCAGACAAACAATACTTGGAACTACAAAGAATAGGAAGGTGTGGAGATCCATGATCACCTATATCAAGAAGGATTAAAGCATATAGTGATTTTCCAAATGTAACTTAGATGTGGCACAACGCCAAACGTATGGGGCACCCAGTGAGGATCGAACTCACAACTCTGTCGTAATGATTCTAGCGAGACAAGCTTGCTAACCATTACACCGTCCTGAGCACATAAAATAATATAATTACCTAACTTTGACAACGTAGTTTCTTTTCTGTCTCTGCTGCGCGGGGTAATTTTTTATTTGCATATAGTAAATGCCAGAAAACATGACGGGGCATAGAATTGAATTTTATTATTCATAAGATGTAAAACGATATCATGTTTATTATTTATATGAGCCACCGTGGCGTTTCCGAAGCTATTGGCTTCCATATTGTTTTTATTATGAGGCGATATCATTTGATAAATGCAAGCATAAATATCCCTGGAGTGTAAATAATGATTTAATAAAAGAGATTTCTTTGAAATATTTTCTTTGTAGCAAAACGGAAACATGCACCCAAGGGAAGAAAAGAAAGAACGGATTACTTTTCTAATCGGTCCTCCATCAAATCAGTAATCTTTTCAGAGGGTTAGAAGAAAGAAAAGAAAGATAGAAAGAAAGAATGAAGAGTTCAGAAATAAAAAAAAAAAAATAGATTCCTCGACAAAGACAAAGTATTTCTCACTTGTCAGTAAAGCCATTTGAAGTGCTTTTCCAATTGATCCTCCATTAATGCAGTAATACTTTTAGAGGCGGGGAAGACAGAAAGATAAAGAGAAAGAGAGAAAGAGAGAAACGAAAGAGGAAAAAAATGATAAGTGTCAAAGGAAGTCAGAGAGAGATTTTTTTTTCTTTTTCTTTTCAGAGAAAAAAAAATAGCTAGCGAAAGACAAAGACAGTGTGAAAAAAGAAAGATAAAAAAGAAATAGTAATTGAATTTAAAAATAAGAATGAAAGAGATAAAGAGAGAAATAAAAAAAGAAAGGGAAACACAGAAAAAGAGAAAAAAATGGAAAATAAAAAAAAACGAGTGAAAGAAAGAGCAAGAAATAAAAAGAGATAAAATGAAAGAGAAAGAAAAAAGAAACAGCAAAGGACAGAGAATGGAAAGGAAAGGCAACTAATAAAAGATAGAGAGAAAAAGAGATAATAGAAAGCTGGAGAAATAATGATAAATAGAGGCAAAGAGAGAAAAGCCCAAAAAAAAAAAAGAAGGAAAATAAAAGAAAAGAAACAATGGAAAAAGAGAAAGAAAATCCGTTCAACGTAATCAACGCAAAATTTCTCTGTGCTCTGGCCTCTCAGAATCTAGGCGATCATGGGTATCCTTAACTTCCTGTACCTGTCTTTGGGTAATTTTTCTGTCATCCTTTTACCAAAATTAGTCAGAGGGTTTACTTACTCTTTATCCTGATATTTTTCTATGAATTAAAAATTTTCTAAGCCTTCTTTCCTCACTTTGTACCAAGTTGTCGCTTTCTGACTATTTCCTTTTCTTATAAAAGTTTTCTCCTTTTCTCAAATCTTCTGTTAGGAATGTTGTTACCATTTAACGTTAGAAAATGTCAATTCTTCATCGTTGAGAACATTGTTAATCATTCCTTACAAGTTAGAAATACATCCATTTCGGCAATCCCGGCATATCTGTTTCCATAATGTGTCCCTTCTGGACTACCGTATATACTAGCCTATCATGGGACCTTTGAAAACCTAATTTTGAAGCTAATTTGACTACAGTAAATAGATATATAGTTTGGTCAACGGCGTAGCCGGGGTCAGCACTACGTACGTTAATTTGATATCTCGTCTATAATGCGACCTCCTTAAAATTAACTTCAAAATAAGGTCTTCAAAATTTTCATGATACACGGGTATAGAAAATAGATAGATACATAGATAGATAGATAGATAGGTAGACTGGCATAGCTAGATAGACTGGCATAGATAGATAGATAGATAGATAGATAGATAGATAGATTCTGCATATGCTAGCGTATCATGCGTCTTTTGAAAACCTAATTTTTAAGCTAATTTGACGAGAGTAAATTAATATATAGTTTGGTCAAAACCGTAGCCAGGACCAGCAGTACATACGTTAATTTTATATATCATCCATGATGTGACCTCCTTAAAATTATCTTAAAAATTAGGTCATCAAAAGTTGCATCATACGCAAATATATACATTGATACTTTTTCCACATCCAATTTTAACATATGACATAAAACATTTCTATAGAAAATAGACATATAAAATAAGCGTCATGCCTCATTGACCAACACAATTTTTTATTTTTGGTTGATTTTTGACGCATTCTAGCTATCTTAGTTGGAGAACAAAAAAAAAGAAAAGCTTATAAAATGGAAAACACGAATCGCTATCTATTAAACTTAGCTTAATTTAGCGCAAGGCAAAAAGTATGCAACCGCGCCTACACTCGATCGCGCTGACTGTTGCACAGATGGTGAAATAAGCCGTTTCCTTACAGGAAATATTAGGCTTTCACTGACCGATAGCGTTACTGTTGGTTGAAATTCATAAAAACTTTCTAAAACAGTTTCTCACGGAAATAGCGTCAATAGACCATTGTTATCTTTCGTTTTCATCGGCTTGATCTTGTATCCAAGAAATTAATTTGTTTATCGCTTCCTTTATAATGATGGCGTTGATGACTAAATTCGCCGTCAAAGTTCAGGTTCAGGACGAGAGGATTCGATTTTCACCAAAACCCGTTCTTGTCATCCATACCCTACGCCGTTTGGCTTTGCAAGATTTGGTTGGGGTGAAACAAAATCAGAGTGGAAGAAAGTGATGATGGCGTGAATCTGTTTAAGGGAGACCTGAACTTACCAGAAATTGACACATACACTTTATTTCATGACCTTCCTCTGCAGCACATATGGAATTAAACATTCAGAATGCAATAAACTGTCGCTGACTCTGCTATAATTTCGAGTGGCACATTCTGTAGCATATTCGCCATGCGTAGCCCTCTTCATCCGCTGATTGAACCGTTGAGATATGTTTGAATCGTCACCCGCTTGTTTCCTCGTTGGGGTCAGTAGTGTTGATCGTGCTTAGTCTGTTATCTATATTGATTTGTTTTCTACGACATATTAACCCTTTGCAGGTTATTTAAAGCCAGAAATATTTTTAGATTTTAAGAATTTTTTCGAGATAATAATAGTTTTACTAATTAATCCATAGCTGGGGGAGAAGAGGTGGATTCATACTTTCCCAAGGGTATTTGCGCGTGAATAAAACGAACCCAACAGGAATTGGAACCCGGTTCTCTGATTAACAATTCCGAGTCACTATCCATTACACCACCCGCACATCCAAGCTAAAAGCACCTTCTATGCCCAAGCAGCCGCCCATTTAAGTACTGACCAGGACCGAAGTTGCTTAACTTCAGTGATTGTAAGAGAACCAGTGTTTCAATGAGATATATCACATTTATCTAGTATTGAAGAGAGTTTCCATCTTACCATTTTGTTTAAGGCAGTCTTGAAAGTCTATATCGTGGTTATTTTCTCATTGAGTTATATGTGCTGACCATTTTAATTGTTTCTGCTGCTGGAAGTCATCAAGTAATGTGATTTTTGCTATTTGGTAAAGTTCTTTATTTGCGATTGTATAGAACCAATCTGTTATATCTCCTGAGAGAAGTCTTGTTTAAGATCAAAAGGGTTTATTCGTTTGAAGCCATTTTTTGATCTGAGAAAAACGGTTGTAGATATCAGTTTAGACATTACCGAATGAGTTGAATGCTATATATGATATCCACATGAGAGTCAAAATCTGACATGACTCGAGATTTCAGGTTAATATTTTGGTTTTGTAGCATTTGGGGTTAATTACCTCCAACACAACTAGTTCTGGGTTCAATTCCCTTTCCTCCTATAATAAATTTGCTAGCTGAGTTTAAATTGGGAGTCTCGTGTGTACGAAGGATCAAAGGCCTTCCCCAGATCTCTTTTTGGGAGGGGCTTCATGCTTAACCTTAGCTCTTTCCCGTGGGAGAAGTACTGCTTGGTGGCTCGATGCTTTGCCCTATCTCTGTTTTTCGTTCAATATGCTCCGCGAGGGTTAAGTATTTTAATCCCTCCTTCCACATTTAATCCCTCCTTTCAGCTCTTTCTTTTCTGACTAATTTAGATAATTACTGGTGTTCAAAATTTAAATGAGCATGGGAGAATGTCAAAAAGCGAAGAACGATTCCCAAAACGGCAAATAAAAAAAAGAGGTTTGAGAGTGACAGAGAGAGGCTGAAAGAATGAGACGGAAACGTGAGAAAGACAAAGGCAGAGACTAAGAGAAAGAAAAACGAGAAAAGAAAAAAAGAAAATATGACAAAAAGACTAAGAGAAAGAAAACGAGAGAAAAAAAAACAAAATGAGAGACAAACAAAAAAAAGAGAAAAAGAAAAAAAAAAAAAAAAAAAAAAAAGGAAAGGAGTGAGTGTGAGAGATTGAATAACGGGATTGTGCGAGACTGAATGGCGAGAGTATGCGAGACTGAAAAGAGGGCGTGTGTGTGAGAGAGAAAGAGAGAGAGAGGAAGTGAAAGGGAGGAGGTGAGAGGAGAGCAAGTTAGCATTCTGTATATGTGTAAACGAGATGTTAACTTCAGGAGATGTGACAATCTGATCCATTTATTTTGTCAAGTCTCCTAGCATTCTCCAAGTCTCGCCGGACATATCAGGCATCTTTTAAAATCACACTAAATGTAAATAAAGGAACTGATTTTTCTGTTTTCTTTCATCTCTCTGATGACATTTCATATCTTAACGTCTAAAATGTTTGGGTAATAACACTTTTGCGACGTACGGTAGCCGTTAATAATTAAGTATAACTCTTGACTTCAATGTTAAAAAAAACTGTATTTAATTACAATTGCAAATAAATACTTAACAAGAACAAAGAAGTAAAAGTCAACCAAATCTTGTTAACAATTTCAGTGAATACCTTGCTGCGGGCGTATTACGTGGAGAGTAAAACGTTAAAATTCCCTTCCTAGATATATGACTGATATAAAAATGAAAAAAAAAAAAATTAACAGACATAGAGAGCCAGCTTGGAAGGCAAAACTAATGGGCGAAATAAAGAAAATCAGATGTGAGATTTCTATATTAGATGAGCTCAATAGAAACGCAAATATCTCAACACGCATGTGCAAGAAAATCAAGCGGAAATATAAAATTAAATCCCTAATTGAAATTTCTTCAATCAAGGAAATGCTGAAAGAGAAACTTCAGCTAAATGCACAGAGAACAAGACGATACGAAAAACGTTGTGGGTTCGCCAAAATAAAGTATTTCAAACGGGCTTTAAGAAATTCTACAGGGAAATTGAAAAAGCACCAACATCTATTGACAAAGTGCAGACATTTTGGGAGAATATTTGGAGCAGCCCAAAGGAATATAACTCAAATACAGAATGGATCCAACGTGATGAAGAACGAATGCTGGATGCACCTCTGCAAGAGTCGGAAAACATAACTACAAATAATGTTAGGCAATCCTAAAGCTGATGTTGATCATCTGTATGTGCCCAGATCCGAAGGAGACAGAGGATTAGTTCAACTAGAACTGTCCTACAAAACTACAACAATTAACCTTCAATGACACCAGGAAACTACACAAGACTGGGTGATATGTGTCAAAGAACATGAAAGTAGTAAGAGTTTTTATTCCATAATAAAAGAAGCCACCATGTTCAAAATGGAGTTTCAAATGGGTGCAAAAATACAAGTAAAGCACATTACACCGACTGAAGATGCAAAATACTTAAAAAAAGAAAGCAAAAGCAAATGCAACTGACCAGATATACATAAACAATAAACCGCTTCATGGCCAATACACTGACCGTACCAAACAAGTTGATGTAGACAAAACCCGTACTCATCAGTGGCTCCATAGTGCGGGGTTAAAAGCTGAAACTGAAGGTTTTATCCTTGCTGCACAGGACCAATGCTTGTTAACTTGAAATTATCAAGCACACATACTAAAATATTGTGTTAGCCCAAAATACAGATTCTGGGATAAATATCCAGAAACAATTAATCATCTTGTATCAGTTTGCAAGGTATTGGCACCCACTGAATATAAAACCCGGCACGACAGAGTGGGTCAATATCTGCACTGGAAAATCTGCAACTTTTACTGAAAGAAAATGGTATGGACACCATTCAGACCCGGTTACGGAGATTGGACCTGTTACAATTTTATGGGACTACACAATACACACAGAACAATCAAAGCTAACCACCCAGACATCGTTATTGGAATGTCTCAGTTATTTCTCTTTAACTCAACCCTACAAGTTTTTGGTTCACCACTGCTGTGGCCTGGTATTGAACTCACAACTCTTTGGGTTCTAGTCACTGGATCTAACCAACGTCTTTATCCACGGGACCATTATTCTTTTGACTAGATCCAAAGAGATTTGAGTTCAATAGCGTACCATAGCAGTGATGAACCAAAACTTAGAGAGTTGTGTTAAAAGGAGTTAACTGGGACATCCGGAAGAGGCATGGCATGTGGAACTAGGGCAATCTATCCTGGTTGACGAATTAAAGAGTTAGGTTCGAAATGAATATGGTAACGAAGACAAGGATAACATTCCGAATAATGTAAATAATTCGAGTAAGCATAATTCTTCATCTCAAAGATATAGACAGATATGTCGATTGACTGTAGTCAAATTGAGATCTTCAAAAGTCGCATATATACGGTATATATGGAAGTATGCTTATCATGATAGTGTTTTTGGGTGAATTATGATCTGAAACAATCTCTATATTTAGTCAGTTGTGTGCTATGCGTGATACACGCTTAGGCGATCATGTATCTTTCGATACATGACTGACGAGGCCGATGTTTTCTTGCAGTAGGTTACCATCCCTTTCTGCGGTAGACCAGTTACCATCCAAGGATATAGAACCCGGCCTGTCGTATTATTTACACATAGCTGTTGGGGGGGATTCATACCATTCCCAATGGTATTAGCACGGAAGTGAATGTAATGGATTCAACTGAAATTCGAACTTGGCTCTTACGATTCCTCAGTCCGAGCCGTTATCCATTACTCCTTCCTATATTTAGCGGTGAATATTAATCAGTGAACATTATACAGTGACGAAGAAAGATATTATTTAGAAAGTGACTTTTGTTGCGTAAAATAAAAGCTATCTACATCATCAATCGATGCACGTATTGATTAAAAGACTTACCAATGTACAGGTGAAAAAAAAAACGATACTAAACAAACGTTCATCGAAGTAGCACATTTGAATGTCTGGAAGAAATAAAAAGAATTTGGCTTTTGATCATTGAAATTACATAATATGGAACGAAGTGTCTGGTCATGATTTGTATGCATGATTTCTTAAATATGTCGCCAAGAAAAAAATCATCAGTCAGAATAGAACTAAGAAATTAAAACATATAAAAAAATATCACCGTACTTTTTACTTGTCTTGTCTTCTTTTAAATCATTTCATTTTTATGATCGAAGATGTTTATCTCTATTCATGTGTAGATCAATATATAACATAGATTATAACTATATATTGTAATAACAGATATTATAACTGTATATTTTTATAAGATATATTATTATAATATATTATAACTATATATTATAATAACATTTATTATTATCACATATATTCTAACTATATATTATTATAACAAATATTATTATAACATATTATAACTATATATTATTATCACATATATTATAACTATATATTCTTATCACATATATTGTAACTATATATTATTATAACATATATTGTAACTATATATTATTATCACATATATTATTATAACATATATTATAACATATATATTATTATAACATATATTATAACTATATATTGTAATAACATGTATTATTATAATTCCTATGGCAAGTATTTTTCTTATTACTGTTTTTCAGGTATCAATTGTAAAACCAACTCAGTTTTATGAATACTTACATATTTATGTATTTTTGTTATAGTCGTCAGTGTGTTGGTGTTCGAGCCTAGATATATGCCGAGATTTTGAATGCTGATTTTCAAGGCAAGCCGGGTTTATCCACGTATTTGTTTTGTTTTCACATACTGATGCCTTTATGACGTAATTTATCACTTATATAAAGATTTGTAAATGTTTTTCTTTTCATCACCTGATGTTTCAACCTGGAAGGTATTTTAACAGAGGATGGAAATTGTGACACCAAAATCCGAACACGTATTGAACTAGTGAAAGAGGCATCTCAAAAGCTAAGAAAAGTACTGAGACACAAAGAAATTTCTTTAGAAACAGTGTTGGATTTCTATGTGATATCAATCCTCTTATATGCCAATGAATGCTGGACAATCTATCCATGGATGAGGAGAAAACCGGAGATACAGCGACTTACAAAAGTCTACACCCCCTTTGAAAATTTATATATTTTGGATAATTTAACAGGGAACAACATATTTTTTCAATTCCAATGATTGTTAAATAATAAGCAGATCCATCACACTTTCCTTTGATATAAAAATTACATTTTCAAACACTGATTCTTAAAATCATGTGATTTAGAAAACTGTCTTTGCAAAAGTCTACCCCCCCAGATATTATACTGTGTTATCACATAGTTTATCATTGGTGTATAGAATCCAGAACAATCAAAAGTGGCATTTGCGTTCTTCCATAACAAACAAACTTGCCCAGTCTATTATTTTGCCATATAAGGTGATTTAACTGTCTAAAAAATCATCCACCACATGGTTTCTTGGTATGTTGGTCTTTGGAATCTGACTGTAAACATAAAGTGTCCAACTCGGGATAGAAAATGGGCAAACCTCTGTCTAAGGAACTTAAAAAAAAACTTTATTATTCAGAAGTGCAATTAAAATAATGGCTATAAAAAGATTGCAAAAACTTTAGAATTGCCCATAAGGACTGTTAAAACAATAGTTTTTAGTGCACAAAACCACTGCTACCCTACCAAGATATGGGAGGCCGAGCAAACTTACCAGAAGAGCAAAATCAAAACTGGTCCGGGGGACAACCTCCAACCCTAGTGCAACACTGGAAGAAATGAAAGCTTCAATTTCCAGTACTGGAACAGATGTCCATGCATCTACAATTTCCAGAGTATTGCACCGGTCTGGCCTGCAAGGGAGGGTAGCTAGAAAAAAGCCCCTTCTGAAGCCTATGCACAAACAAGCTAGTGTCAAAAGTCACATCATTGATTCCATGACCATGTGGCGAAAGATGTTGTGGTCAGATGAGACCAAAGTCGAGTTGTTTGGAAAAAAATACGAAACGCTACATTTGGCGGAAAAAAGGCACTGCTCACCAACATCGTTACATTGTCCCCACTGTAAAGTATAGCGATGGCTCGATCATGTTTTGGGGCTGTTTTTCGGCTGCAGGGCCTGGAGAGCTGGTAACCATCCAAGGTGTTATGGACAATGTCAAGTACCGAGAAATATTGGAGGCAAACCTGCTGAAGCCTGCTAGAGCTCTGCGCTTGGGTCACAATTTCAAGTTTCAACAAGATAACGACCAAAAGCATGTGTGAAAGATTGGTTTGCTAGCAAGAAAATCATAGTTT